CTACAATGCAAGCACAATCCAAAGAGATGCACCCAGAAGACCCTCTGGTTATTACTGTACATATTCAGTAGCCACTTTCCACTTATCCCTATTTCTATATTCCTTCTTTCTTTCTTACTGCTCTTTTTAAGTGTTGATTTTTTTATCAGACTCCTGTAACTACACTACTAGAAAAGAACAAGAGGGAGTTGAAAGTGTGTAGAGCATTAGTCTACTGTCATTCTTAGCATGTCAGATTAGACCTTTTACTTAAAGCAATACACAGCAAAATATAAAATACTTGGGCAACTTTTCCCTAATCTTTCAAGATCTCAGCTGTGTAATGTAGAATTATATTGTCTGCTCCCCATCATCTTGTATGTTGAAAATCATGTGAAGTTGGACCAAGGAAAACTGCTATACTTTTTTGTAGTGTTGACTAGTTTAAGTTATTTCCTTCTCACTTTATCTTTTCCAGACTCCACCTCTATAACGACTATGAATCTTTTTCCTTACTGGAAAATTAACTTCCCGCTCCATTTCTTTCTCCTTTTTGCTTTCAACCTGTAACACAACTTCACTTTTTAGTGATAAACTATTAATCCGAGCCAAGTGTGAAGGAATCAGTATATGATCTTTTTAACCACTTGAGGGCAGCAAACACTTACTCTTTAAAAACACACCACCATAAAAATGCATTCAAGTTTACAAATTCTGCTAGAGCATTCAAGAAGTAAAATCGTTTAAAGGTAGCAGGAATCCAACAGATTGTTTAGCAGTCTACCTAGTATATATTACCCTTTCATTGATTAATTCAATCCAGGCAGAGTCCTGGTGGATAATTTGTAAGAAATAATAGAAAAAGCCCAAAGAAGGCAAGTTCAATTCTTGCCAGGTTTTGCAAGTCAGGTATCTACTGAACACATTCTAAAAGCACAAATTTTTATTACTAACTTGAAAACTATTAAAAATTAAGAAAAATATGTCCAAGTAGTTCAAATTAAGAAAATAAGTGAACACTCTTAAGCTTTAAAATCTGAATGCTTTAAAAATACATAAACTCATCTGTCTGACATCTATCTGTTGCCAAATACATCAGTCTGGGATATCAAGGTACACTTCTTGTTTCTTATGTGTCTCTAAGTAATAGACAACTAAATTGAGCTCTCCATTAGATTTAAGCAGCCTCATTAGCCAACCTGTAATTCAAAGAGATTGAACCAAGAACACAGTATGCAGACCCCTAATTAATATTGCTCCCACTGTCCAGACTCATCAAGTAACAGCATGCTATCTTACCAAGCAACTACTATCAATCCATCAACATGCTGACAATATTCTAGACAGCTTCCTATATACAGTGTATCTCATTTGAACTTGTGATAACAGAGGATGAATTTCACATTTTTCCTCCTCCCTTGCTTCACTTCCTCTATTAAAAAAAAATAAAAACAATTTCTGCCAGAAAACACCAAGCATTACAGATTCCCTTTGCAAGAAGTAGAATTAACATTATCTGCTACTACAGGAATGCACTTCAGAAGACTAAAGAAAATCATGACATTTCTTTCTTCAAAATAAAGGGAATTTACTTGTTTAAAAACAGATCAAATACCAACTGGCAATACTGTACTGTGCTTTGGTAAATTTTGACATAATCCTAAAATGTCCTGAGCACCCTCAACTTTTGCAGGATTTTGCATAATCAAGCTCATTGATCCTATTTCTATCTGAATATGAGAAGACATCAGAGACAGTACAGTTTCAAATGCAATACTACTTTTAAATACCAATTGGTAGGGGTTACACAGCCCAGAAGGCTACACAGTAGTATCCCACTTCTACAAGAAATCAAACAGCTTCAACTACTCTCTCCATTCCCATGTCATGAATGTATCTGTTTGCACTCCTGCCCTCTTTGTGAGCTTCTTCATTCTAACTCTTTGTTCTGATCATCTATCAACAGTCTGATGATTCTTTTCACCCATCCCTTCCTCCTACAGCATGGAAACTCCTCCCTTGTACACTCGCAAAACCAAACCAAAACAGACATTCATTTACTTCTTACACATAAATCAAGTAAAGTTGCTCCTACATTTCAGTTCCTTCCCTTTTTCTTATTTCCCCATTCATTCAAAAAAAAGGAAGCTCTTCCAAACATGGCTAAAAAAAAACAAATCCACTTGAGCTCTCTAATTGCAACAGCAACAGAATTAGTGAGCTGCGGATGCCCTGGGTTTTTATTAAAGCTGAGACTGGAAAGCATAGAAGAAAATTAGTAATGCAGAGGCTACTTTTGACACAGTGATGAATTTTGTTCTAAGCAGGCATACAAAGACAGGTGAGACAGAATTAAAATCTACGAAAAAATTTCTACTAGAAATGGATCTCCATACGATGGAGCCTCACAGCACACAGTTCAATACATACCCAACAGAAGCACAAAAAACAGTCATTCATTTTAAAAAGTTTCAAATTCCTTAACTACTTGGATGCTCTAGTTCCTAACTGTATTCACAGAATTACACATCACTGGCAATTAATACAGAACTATATTTGAAATTTCATCTCTGATGTATATCTGCATACAATTTTTGCTTTCACATATTCACATGCTTGCTGGTTCAAAATATTCAGTAACATAGTAATTAACATAAATTATAGTTATGCCATGTTTAGAGAGATAGTAAACAATGTTTTCAGGACTGAGGGCAAAATTTACATGCAGCCAGCTTTCCCTTCACTTGGCAAAAATGGAATATTGCCCTCCTCTTGTTATTGAATTCCATCACACACATGCATGAAAAAACAGTGTGGGACTACACTGCTGGAACGTCATACAATCTTGCCAATAGTTCTGTGAACAGGATTGATGTTACTGTCTACATGGAAGGCTAGTCCTCAACCATCTTCCTCCAATATTTAAAGTTTGTACAAATTAAAATAAACCATACATTGTCTGATTATGGTTTACAAAACATAACAAACCTATCTTTCAGCAAGTTATTAAAAGGCATTAGCACTGATCACAGAAAAAAAATAACGACACAAAACAAAACATGTCACACAAAATGAGAAACTATGTCTCAAGAGACCATTCATTTTTCATTGAAATCAAAGACAATTGCAACTGATTGATGAGCTCATAAAGTATTAACATGGAAGCTGAAAGGTAATAAAAGGGCAAGAAACTTGTGCATATTCAATACACACTGAACACTCACATAGCGGTATCGTGTAGCCCTGCCTTCCATCACTAAGTAATGCTAGAGCAAAGGACAGATGTCGTTTGTCTGGAATTAATAAAGTGAGCATTGTCTAGCTCTCTTGTCATTGCTTAATACTGGAAACTGATCTGTCATTAATTTAAGACTTGTAATGCAATGTAATGCTGTTGGGGATAAAAATATTCATTAATTCAAAGCACTTGAAATTGAAAGTAAATGTATCTTTTAAGATGTTAGTATAAGCTGAATTTAATTTGATACACTCTACAGTTACAATACATCCTTCAAGACAACTTGCAGTGAAAGTGAAATACAGTTCATCCTTCTTAAGTTTTTTATGTCCTCACTGCAATGATCAAAATCAAGAACACTGAAACTCCTAAGAATGCTAAGTGTGGAGATTTAAGTACTACAGAACAACTGAAAATAGTGTGAATTTTGGTAGCTAATCAGCTGCAACTTATTTAAAAGAGTACACCTGTGGAAAGATGATGATGATGATGAAGGCTTTCACTGTCCATCTCAAACAGTGGAACTACCAACATATTAACTCCAAATGTTAAGTTATCCAAAAACATAGCTGTGGGTTTTCAACAATAATTTTATTTCAGACTGCTAACTTGTTTTCTGTACAAAACAGCTGTAAAATTGTTGAAGCAATATTTAAACCAAACATGACTAACCACAAAAATACCAGTGACAAGCCTGAAGTTTTCACTGTAAAACAAAAGATCTCTGCTCTAAAAATACCTTGTTGCATTGGGAGGACTACTTAAGAATTGTCATAAATTATCAGTAAATTGAAATAATATCTTTAATAATTTTACATTGGATATTTCTTATCTATCACAATTTAATAAAATCAACTACTGGGAAAAATCCAAATATGCCGTATCTTCAAAGATCATACAGAAGTTTACATTAGACTTGCTTTGGTACAAATGTTTATATAAAGTTATAATTATTTTACCTATTTTTCAGGACAATAACTCTGATGCAACAAAATCCTACAACCAAAGGTGGGGAGGATGTCCTTTTTCCAGCAACACGGAGATCAGAAGGCATTTTGAGTCCTCACTCTTT